CTCTGTGCCTCCTGGATCTGGATGTCTGTTTCCTTCCCCAGATTAGGGAAGTTTTCAGCTATTATTTCCTCAAATAAATTTTCTTCCTTCTTTTCTATTTTTCTTCTGGGACCCCTGTAATATGAACATTATTACATTTGATGGAGTCACTGAGTCCTCTAAGTCTATTCTCGTGTTGCACAATTCTTTCTTTCTTTTGTTCAGCTTCATTATTTTCCAATATTTTGTCTTCTGGGTCGCTAATTCATTCCTCTGCTTCCTCCAGCCTGCTGTTTATTGCATCAAGTCTGTTTCCAATCTCGCTTATTGCACTCTTCATTTCTGATTGATTCCTTTTTAACTCTTTTATCTCTGTGGTAAGGGTCTCACTGATGTCTTCTATTCTTTTTTCAAGCCCATTGAGTATCCTTATGATTATTGCTTTAAATTCTCCATCAGGCATGTTACTTATATCTGTTTCACTTAGATCTCTGGCCATGGCCTTATCTTGTTTTTATTTGGGAAAAATTCCCCTGTCTTGGCATTTTGTCTAAGTCTCTGCCTTCTTCTGTGTGTTTTAAAAGCCAGTTATGTCTCCTGCTTCTGAATGTAATGGCCTTATAAAGAAGAGGCCACGTAGTGCCCAGGGCCTGGTGCTTCAGGGAGTGTCTCTGCTGTGTGCTGAATGTGCCCTGCTATTGTGTTTTGGTTGCTATGTCCTCCAGGCCAGTTGTCTGCTGAGGCCCTCCTTCCCTGCTGCAGGCAGTGTTTGGTCCTTGGCCTGAACATGGCAACTTTTAACTAGATGTGCTCTGATCTCCTTGTGAAATGCTGTAGTCTCCTTGAGACCTGTACAGAACTCTCTGGTAAGGATATATGGTGTGGGCAGGGGTTTGTGCTGGTTTTCTGGGGAGGGGACCACTGCACTGGGACTAAGAAGGGCAGTCCCACCAGAGCACAGAGGGGTGGGGCTTGTTGTAAGCAAGTTAGGCAGCCAGTGTCCTTTCTGAGCTGCTTCCCTCAGGTGGCTCTGTGTTTATGCTGGGGGGGTTGCAGGGGAGAATGACGCCAATAATCTCCTTTGTTCCTGGAGAGGTGCACTGTGAATGAAGACTTAGTTTTGTTATCATTTCCTTTTGTTGGTTGTAAATTTTTCAAGTACAGAAAAGTATAAAAGCAAAAGCAAGCACCAACCACAGGCAAGCAGTGATGATGTTTTTGTATATTTTCACCTAGACCTTTTATTCCGCATATTTTTAACATATGAAACCATTCTGTACATATACTTTTGTATCCTATGTTTTTCATTTATATTGTAATATAAGCATTCTCTTATATTAATAAAAAAGACTTCCTATACATTATTTTTTTAGATTGTGGTAAAAAACACATAACAAAATTTATCTCCTTAACCCAATACACTACTTTTAATGATTATAAAATGTTATTAAACAAACACAGCACATTCCTCCATTGTTAGAAGTTTAGAATGTTTCAAATTTTTCACTGTTAACAATGACTCTGCAATTAAAATACTCGTAAGAAATATTTGTCCACATTTCAACTTATTTTCCTAGGCTAGATTTCTAAAGTAGAATTATAGGTCAAAGAACATGGTTATTCCAAAGCCTTTTATATATATATATATTGCCAAATTACTTTGCCCTCCTATTATCACTCTATAAAATGTCCATTCCACTGCAGTCTTATTAGTATAACAGGCTGATAAAAATGGGACCATTTTTTTTTTTAATGGGACTATTTTAATCTCCATTTGGTTAAGGTCTCTGGAGTAAAGTGTGAGACTAGATAACTGGTTTTGCAACCCTTTGCTGACTTCTAGCCAATAAATGGGGTTGGAGAGTCTGAGAGGAGTTAAAGATTAGAAGAGGATTTTGGAGAGTTTTTCATATATTATGAGTTCCATTTACTCTCAAGAAGGAAGGATCAGATGTATTCCCTCTTATAAATGATCATCTATAAGCCAAGGATAAGGGGCCCAGAACAGATCCTTCCTTCCCACCCCTCAAAAGGCACCAACCCTGCTAACACCTTAATATTGAACTTCAAGCCTCCAGAACTGTGAGCCAATACATTTCTGTTGGTTAGGCCACTCAGGTTGTAGCACTTTTTTACATTAGCCCTAGCAAAGTAATACACAACTAGTGCTGAGCATTGAAGCTTGATTATGAAATCTTGAAGTTCAGTATAGGAAGTGCGATCATCCTAGAGAAAACAGGAAAATCCAGGCCTAACAACTATTGCAACTTCCATAACAGAACAAGAGACTGGAAAAAAAAAAAAAGATTTTATTTATTTATTTAGAGCATGAGTGGGAGGGAGTGGGCAGAGGGAGAGGGAGAAAGAATTTCAAGCAGATTCCACCTGAAGCCTGATTCAGGGCTCAACCTCAGGACCCTGAGATCATAACCTGAGCTGAAATCAAGAGTCAGATGCTCAACTGACTGAACTACTCAGGTGCCCCAGAACAAGGACTTTTATATATTTTTAAGCATATATTTCATTGTTTTAATTTCCCTTCCACTATAATGTGTCATAAAGTTTAAATGATGATTTTTCTGTATCTCTAAATTCTAACTCCATAGCTTAACTTTTCAAGATCTTTGACAATATGATCTTAATCTAACTTTTCATGCTTTTATCTCACTGTCATTTTTCATAAACTACTTGGCTCAGTCAAATTGGGACACCAATCCCAAAATAGGCCTGGATATTCTTGTCTTTGTTCTCTTCATCTCTCTATTTAGAATGGTCTTTCCATTCCTCATCATCACACATTGAAAAATCCAAAGTTAAAATCTTCCTTCAGTGCCCAATAGAAAAACCATCACTTCTAAGACTTTTTCTTTTCAATCTAAATATTTCTGAACTTCCATTGCATATTTTTTGTTTCACTGATTTTTATTTTAGTTATCTGGATTCATGTAATAGCCTCTGATTGACTTTAAGTTTCTTAGGGCAAGAAGCAACTAGTACATGTCTCATTTGGGTTTCTTCTTCCAAAAATGGAAACTGAGACAAGAGCTTTGTGTACAGGTCATTTGGAGAAGTAATGTCAGGGATGAAGAGTAAGGGAACTGGGAAGAATGAGGCAAGGAAGAAAATAAAAGCCAATCTCAGAGTGAGTAAATCTCAGTCCTACTGGGGACTCATTGAGGAATGGTGTAGAACATAACTCATTTGTTAACCCAAGAATAAAAGAAAGCAATATTTATCTAATGGCTCCCTTCCCTTAAGTGGTCAAGGATCTCCTTAGGGGCTGTCTCAGCCACTTTCAGGTTTGTGCATATACCAGAATGGCTGAACGGGCTTCTATGAACATCACATGCAGGGTTATCATTGAAGCCACAGGGCATAAAGTGAGAGATATGTGGTGCAGCTATGACAAGATGCTATCTGATTATACCTTCCCAGAGCTGGCAGCTAGACTAAAAGGATAGACCGGGAGAATGATTGATGAGTATAAAAAAAACCTGATAAAATGATGCTAGGAAAATATATCTAATATAGCCCATTCCTTGCAATGTTCCAATCTGCTCATGCCCTGCTTATGCCCTGCTCATGTGTAATAGTTCCCAAAGACAAGAATGCTATGCATAAAGACAGTACACATGGACTATATCCCTCCTTCTGATCAAAAGAGCAAAGTCTCTTGTGCATGCTAGGTGTCAGGCAACTAGAATCTCAGCAAGATCTCCAGCCACAGAAAACCAGACTCAGAATTTCCATTTGGCCTGAGATGTAATTCAAGAACTCTTGGTTTGGGTTCCCCCAGGTGCAGACCCTGAGACAATTATTCAACTACAAGTATTTTATTTCAGAAAACACCCTTAGAGGAATGAGGATATGAGATAAGTATAGAAAGGAAGGAATAGAGTATATAAGTATAAGAATAGTATAGTATAGAATAAATATAGAAAGGAAGTATAGTATAGTATAAGTATAGAATTAGTACAGAATAAGTATAGAAATACCCTTATAAATAGTATAGAAAACACCCTTAGAGGAATGAGGATATGAGATAAGTAGAGAAAGGAAGGAATAGAGTATATAAGAATAGTATAGTATAGAGTAAGTATAGAAAGGAAGCCAATGAAAAATACATTTATCAAGCTGTTTCCACCATGGAGAATTAGAATCCCATTCTACTGGGGAACTCAGGGATAGTGTAAAGCACACCTCAGATTTATCCCCAAAATGGGTGAGAAATTTGGGGCATTTATCCAACAATTCTCTCCCTGATATTCATTGAGAGCTCCTTCCAAGAAAAATCTCCAGCACTTCTTGGGGCGCCTGGTGGCGCAGTTGGTTAAGAGTCTGACTCTTGGTTTCAGCTCAGGTTGTGATCTCAGGGTCCTGAGATCAAGCCCCATGTTGGGCTCCATGCTCAGCATAGAGTCTGCCTGAATTTCTCTCTCCCTCTCCCTCTGCCCCTCCCACTTGTGCTCTCTCTCTCTCTCTCTCTCAAATAAATAAATCTCTTAAAAAAATCTCCAGAACTTCTAAATTGCCCTTTGTGTAAGCCAAGTAGGTTCTCATGGCCAGGAGAAAACCCTCCAGGCAAAGAGTGCAGCATTAGCAATAAGTGGCCTTCAACATGCAAGGACAAATGCTGAGTAAAAACAAGAAGGGCACCAATAGCTACAGGTATCTGCTATAGAAACTAAAGTTATTTATTTATTTATTTATTTTAAAGATTTTATTTATTCATTTGAGACACAGAGATACAGAGAGAGAGAGAGAAAGCATGAGCAGGGAGAGAGGCAGAGGAAGAAGCAGGCTCCTCACTGAGCCAGGAGCCCGAAGTGGGGCTCGATCCCAGGACCCTGGGATCATGACCTGAGCCGAAGGCAGACGCTTAACCATCTGAGCCACCCAGGCACCCTAAAGTTATTTAAATAGGTACTTGTCTTGATTACATGATGTATTCAATGAATTCAGTCCTAGAAAAGAAAAAGATTAATTCCTCATGGGTTAGAAATTAACTACTTAAATAAAAATTATATCATTGTATTAATTTTTATTACCATATATAAATGGTGAACTGGAGAGCCTGAAAGTACACATTTTTATCTACATCATATATTCAAAATGGCATTTAGATTTGTGTTGATGCAAAATAATCACTGTTGGAATCTCCAAAAGCAGCAACATTTTTCCAAAAGCAGCAAAGGAATTGTTCTAGATCTATGTGTGATCTATTTTTTTTGCTTGCTCCATCAATTTAATATTAATAGATGCTCTTAGGTTAGCCCAAAAAAGTCCACGTTTGCTCTTCTCCTTGGGCCATTCCAAGTAAGTCCTTTGTGCCATAAGATTTTTGAGCTTGTGATAGCTGCTAGGAATGGAATACTGTGGAATAGGTTCCAGTAAGATCAAGATTAAGTTATCAAAAGCTTCATGAAAGAGATTGTGGTGGGCAAAGTAGAGTTCATAATGGCACCACTCACTCTGGACAAAGTTGGGAGACAAAACAAAGATGGACTTGTAACTTCTCTCAATGCAGTTTATGATATTTTCCACAATGCTCTTGCCAGGAACAAAGTTTCTCTCATGGAGACAAATCCTTATATCTTCTTTTTCTAGGTTTGGTAGTAACTCATTCTTCACCCAGGCAGAATCATGCCCACTATATGAAATAAAAGCATGGAACTGGAGGGTTCTTTGGAGTTCTTCTAAAGGTACGTTCCTTGCCCTGTGCCGGGTCTGGGTCCACTGACACACCATCCTGAGATACCAGGGCAGATCAAAGTAGATACAGAGGGCAGTCACAGTAACAGTCAACACCAGCACAGTGACCCCAATGGTAACAAGCAGCAGAGTTGTGTTGCAGGATAACTGAGGTATGTGAAAGTCCTTCAGTGGGGTTCCCTTATAGTTTTCTGGATAGTCACAGTTATAAGAATCAGGCCAACCCTCTACCACTTCACTTGATACTTGGCCTAGACTTTGGACAAATTCTCTTAGCTCACATGTACATTGGAATGGATTGTTCCCTGCTCTTATGGACCTAATCTTCTGGCAGCTCTGGAAGAAATCAGCCGATGGGCTGGAAATTGAATTAGAGTCAATAATCAGTACAGAAAGGCTGCTAAAAGTATCACAGTCAGGAAGGTGGGCTAAAGAATTGGAAGCAACATTGAGTTCTTGTAAAGCTTCTAGTTTCATGATTGATTTAGGAATGCTCCTTATTCTGTTATTGTGAAGATCAAGTACCTTGACCTTGGGAGGTAAACATCTGAAAACAGAGTCAGCAAGTATGTTTGAAGACATATTTAAACTTAATAAACTTTTAGTCCAAGCACAATTTCCTTCATTTTCATCATACCTTAGAGAATTCTGGCTAATATCCAATTGTTGTAGAGATTTCATTTCCTTGGTCATATTAACTATACTTGCAAGTTCTTTTAATTGATTCATTTGTAAATTAAGTGTCTCCAGTTTAGCCAAGCTTCCACAATTTTTAAAAATCGTGTCTGTTAAGAGATTATTAGAAAAATCCAAATACAGAAATGGGCTAATTTGGGATGGGCAAACCATGTGGATCATGTGTGTACCAGACACTGTGAAATTTTGGATGTTCATATTTGACAAGAGTCCATAGATATAACTTTGTGGCAAAGTGAACACATTACTGACAACATGGTGTATCGATAAGGCCTTCAGTGAAGTGTTGGAATAATCAAAATATCCTAAGGTAAGGTAATCTTGTAGTTTTACATTTGAAATTGAGAAATACTCTATGCTTGTATGCCAAACCAACTGGAGGATCGTAATGAAAAAATTCCAAGTTGTTTCAATGTTGTTTAAGGTAAGAGTTGATAACCTTGAATTCTTTTGAAGTTTTAACAGAACATTTTGGAAATAAGAACATCCATTATCATCTAGCACACATTTGATATTAGATAGTTCCAGACGCACTGCTGTGCTGACTGATACATCCAAAGTAAACCTGAATTCCTTTCTTCTGGGGAAAACAATGTGTAGACTTTCTGTGTTAAGGTTTCGAAGGCTCTCAGCATCTTCTTTTTCCCCGTAAGCATCTCCTAAGACCAGTAACACCTTACTTATATGCAAAGGAGCAATTGGAAACACGCTAGATTTTTGTAACTGTGTGGCACTTAATCCCAGAAATTCCAGGTGAGACATGTTGCCAAACTCTTTGCATATGGGCAGATCATCAAATGCATTAAACGAGAGGTCTAAGTGCTTGAGGTTCACAGTAGGATGGCAAGAAATCTTCCCCAACTCATTGTGGGACAAATCCAAGTATTCCAATTCCCGGTTGAATTTGAAAACACTGATATCAAGATATTGAATTCTATTATGAGAAACTATCAAAATCCTCAGCTTTGATAATGATAGGATGTCAGAAGTCTGAAGCTCAGATATATAGTTTTGTGATATATCTAAGATTGTTGTTTTCAAGGATAGGTCTTTGGGAACATGAAAGAGACCTGTGTTTGATCTGTTAACTAGAAATTCACTTTCATCTGACAACTGGATTCTGATCTCAAATATTAACATGATGATTATGGCAAAATGGAAGATGCTAGAATTAGTTTTCATCATTTTGTAACACTAGACATTCCTAAGCGTTGTTGCTATTCCTCAGAGCATCTCGATACAGGTACAGATCCTTAAAAAAAACAAAACAAAACAAAACACTTTAAATGACTGTATTAAACTAGGCATGGCTGACAAACATTTTTTCCTAGAGACTCATAAAATGAAGGCTGTGTTCTTTGGAGTCACATAACTGAAAACCAGGGAAATATACGTATTGATAAACAATTATACTACATCTAATCAAATAACTTTTAATATGGAAGGGGTAATGGGTTGAATGGTGGCTCCACCCAAAGGGTATATCCACCTTCTAACCCTGTCCTAATCACCAGAAACTGTGAATATTACCTAATTTGGAAAAAGGGTCTTTGTAGAGATAATTAGGTTAAGGATCTTTAGATGAGGGGATCATCCTGGATTATCCAGCTGGTCTTTAAATCCAGTGACAAGTGTTCTCATAAAAGAAAGGCAGAGGGATATTTGATGGAGACAACAGAGACACAGAGAAGGCCATCTGAAGGAGGCAGAGACTGGAGCAGATACAGCCACAAACCAAGGAATAATGATAGTTACTGGAAGCTGGAAGAGATTTTAGGGAGAGTTTAGTGCTGCCAACACCTTGATTTTAGACTTCTGGTCTCCAGAACCACGAGAGAATAAATTTCTTTTGTTTTTAGCCACCAAGTTTATGGTTACTTGTTATAGCAGCCACAGGAAACTAATACAGATGGTTTTACATATTTATGGAAAGTCCACTGACCCCAACCCTCCTGAGATCATACAGAACTCAAGCTAGGATTCACAGCTGGTGTATTTTTCTACCTTTGACATGCACCACCTCATGGCTTTCTTAAGAGTTCCTTTCCCATGGGGTTCAATTTGGACTCTTCTTGCATTACTTTCTATTACCTACACATGGTTTCATGCCTAACTTTGGTCTTATTCAAAAGGTAATTAGGTCATGATAAAAGGTCTCTCAGAAAATCCGTTTATTCATCCATTTATTTATTCAACCGCTATTTATTGATAATCTACTGGCCATGTTTTAGAAACTAGAGATAAAACAGTGAACAAAATAAAGCCCTAATTCTCAAGGAGCTTATTATCTAGTGGGGAGATGGAAAATAAATGACTAAATGTAATTTCATGTAGTATTAAATATTATATAGAAAATTTAAGCAGAGGGGCACCTGGATGGCTCCATCAGTTGAGCACCCAACTCTTGGTTTTAGCTCAGGCTGTGTGACTGAGCCCCATCTTGGGCTCTGTGCTGAGCGTGGAACCTGCTTAAGAGTCTCTCCCTCTCCTCTCCGTCTGCCCACCCCAGCTTGCATGTGCTCTCTCAAAAAAAAAAAGAAAAATTGAGCAGAGTAAATGAATCAAGAATAATGGTAGGTATGTAACAGTAGTTGGTGGATTTTTTAGATTGATTTGTCAGAGAGGACTTTTCTGAGAAGTTGCCATTGTGGTGTAAACCAGAATGGAGTGAATGAGTAATCTATGGGAAGATCTGGAGGGAAAGCATTTCTGACAAAGAAAAAGGCAAGTACAAAAGTCCTGAGATGGGACTGAGGCTGGCTTATCTGAGGCATAGTAAGGTGGTCAATGTTAGTATGGAATGAATGAGGACGAGAGGAAGTAGAGCCAAGATTGTACAAGATGCAGATCATTGCAAGGAGTTGGGATTCTAGTTTGAGAGTCATGAGGGAATGGTGAGCACTGAAACGCTGCAAGGATAGTAGTTTCCTCCTCTTCAGAAAAATTTTGTTCATCCATTCATCAAATATGTATTTATTCCTTATGAAGTGCTAGGCGTTATTCTAGGTTATGCTTATTGCACTAGTTATCAACCCACTATAGCCCAGACCTATTTTGTTATCAAGATTCTAATGACACGGGAGACCAGAGGGAGTTGTGTTGGGATGAACCCTAGAGTGTGATCCACATCCCCCTAATCTGCCCCACCCAGACCCCTTCAGCTGGGGCTACATAGCTACATGGGTCTTTCAGGGAAATTATTCAATCTCTTGGGGCTGCATTAGACAGGCAAGCCATCAATATCAGCAAAGAATCAAATTCCTCTTCACATATCCCCTCACATCTCTGAGTGGGCACAAAAGGACCTCAATAATTAAAGTCCCAGAAAAAACCCTAAGTTGTAAAAATTCCTCAAGGTACATGTAGTATTTGGAGCACTGTTTGGACTTACCCTTTTGTAGAGGTATCCAGTGATGCCTTGGTTATTTTGATTTCTTCAAACATATGAGAGGGCCCAGTATACCCTTTTCGTCACCATTCATGTAAACTCTGTGCAAGGAAAGAAACCCAGCCATTAAAATGCATGTTAAAAGGAAAGGTGGCATCCAAAAGACACATGAAAAGATGCTTAACACCACTAACAATCAATGAAATGCAAATCAAAACCATAATGAGATATCACTTTGCACATGTCAGAACGGCTAAAATAAAAAAGACAAAAAATAAGAAGTGTTGGCAAGGATGTGGAGAAAAGAGAACTGTTGTACACTGTTGGTGGGAATGTACATTGGTGCAGCTACTGTGGAAAACAGTATGGAGTTTCCCCAAAGGATTAAAAGGAGAAATACCATATGATCCGGGGGCACCTGGGCGGCTCAGTTGGTTAAGTGTCTGCCTTTGGCTCAAGTCACAATCCCAGGGTCCTGGGAAGGAGCCCCACAATGGGCTCCATGCTCAGCAGGGAGTCTGCTTGTCCCTCTGCCCCTTCCCCTGCTCATTCTTTCCCTCTCTCCCTCTCTCTCTCCCTCCCTCTCTCTCTCCTTCCCCCCCCTCAAATAAATAAATAAAACCTTAAAAAAAAAAAAAAGAAATACCATATGATCCAATAATCCACTACTGGGTATTTACCCAAAGAAAATGAAAACACTGGGCGCCTGGGTGGCTCAGTTGGTTAAGCGACTGCCTTCGGCTCAGGTCATGATCCTGGAGTCCCGGGATCGAGTCCCGCATCGGGCTCCCTGCTCGGCAGGGAGTCTGCTTCTCCCTCTGACCCTCTTCCCTCTCGTGCTCTCTATCTCTCATTCTCTGTCTCAAATAAATAAATAAAATCTTAAAAAAAAAAAAAAGAAAATGAAAACACTATTCTGAAAAGATAAATGCAGTCCTATGTTTATTTCAGCATTATTTACAATAGCCAAGATATGGAAGCAACCCAAGTGTCCGTTGATAGATGAATGGATAAAGAAGGCACACACACACACACGGAATAATATATATACACAATGGAATATTACTCAGCCATTAAGAAGAATGAGATCTTGCCATTTACAACAACATGGATGGACCTAAAGGATATTATGCTAAGTAAAATAAGTCAAACAGAGAAAAACAAATACCATGTGATTTCACTTATATGTGAATCTAAAAAACAAAACAAGAAAAAACAGAAATAGAATCATAAATACAGAGAATAAACTGGTGGTTGCCAAAGGGAACAGGTTGGGAGGATGGGCAAAATAGCTGAAGGGGAATAAGAGATACCAACTTCCAGTTATAAAATAAATAAGTCACTGGGATGAAAAGTACAGCCTTAGAACTATAGTCAATAATATTATAATAACATTTTATGGTGACAGATGGTAATTATACTTATGGTGAGCACAGTTTATTGTATAGAATTGCTGAATCACTAGGTTGTACACCTGAAATTAATATAACATTGTATGTCCACTATACTTAATGTCTAAATTAAAAAAAAAAGTAAAGGTGGCATTTTTATGGCATTGGTTATATTCGGCTGAAAGACCCAGAAATTTCCCAATTTTTTTCTCTCCAGCTTCCTGAAAGAGCTACTCATACAAGTAAAAATACTTAAGTAAGAATCAAAATTATACCCAATTATTGTCTGGGCCAGTGCGCAATCTCTCAAAACAGAACCAGCTAGTAAAAGCTAGGTCAAAGTAAAAGTGGCTTGGATTTAAGGTTCACATGGGATTTCTTGTCTTATTCCTTAGCCTGAATCCAAATCTGGGGATCTTTCTAACTTCTGGCCAACTCTAGGGTTGAAGGTAAGCAGTGATCAGCATAATCAGGCATGGTTCAGGAGAGTGACAAGAGAGACAAGGAACAGAGACAGGGCCCCATGCATGGACATAAGTGCTTAGCACACAGGGAACCCACCACAAACAAGATGGAAAAAGTTGTCCTTCTTTTCTTAAAAAACTGCCTATCTCGAGCATTTACTGAAAGCGTGGCTTCAGTTTTATATCTAGCTAAATTAATTGACTTAAATAGCCTCTATTTTCCCAGCCTCCATTTTGTCCTTCCCTTTATAATCGTCAATTTAAAGTACTTGGTTTATGAAACCACTTTTATTTCTGTGATTAAGAAGTCAAAGTATTATTGTACACATGAGGAATTGACTTTTGGGTACTTACGGGATCTTTAAATTTCATATACCAAACTTGCTAAATCAGCAAAAATCAATTTTTTTTTTTTAACTGAAGTCCTGATGGCCAGCACTGAATCTCCAAACTATTTTACTACCCAATAAAATAATTATTTGCTAACTTGATTAGTAAAAGGAAGATTTATTCAAGGGTATAGAAGTATCTCTAGGTGTGTTTATGTCAATTTTAATGATTATGATAGATTTGGCTTCACTTTATATGATACAATACATCAATACATTTGAGCTGTCTTTAGAGACTTTGGTGTAATAAAATCAGGACTTTGACTTGACTCCATGAGTAAAATCCATACAATCAACCTGGCCTATTAAGTTCAATACCACGAATAGTAATTGTGAGTCTTCTCTACACAAGGCCAACTAGCTTTTAGGTTGAAAGGATCAGAACCAGTTCAAGAGCGTTTTGGCATTATTTCCTATGTGGTTTTGCAAACTTTTGCTTTTTATTGTAAAGATGTACTTATTTTCAATCCTTTTGATCAAATTGGGTGTAGCCTGGGAAACATTTTCAAAATCTACAGTTGCACCTGACTAGTAGCACCCAGAATAGTTTCAGTGGCTTGAGAAAACGGAAAAGAATATTTAGTGGGAACAGCCCAGAGGAAAAATTAAAATCAACCTGC